TGAGGATCCTTGTCTGCTGAGAATGTTCTCAGAGTAGGAAGTGCCCCACCTAGGAATCTGGAGCCAGGAGAATGTATAACATAAGGGCCCCTTGTGTTCTCGTTCTCCCCAGGAGCCAGGATCAGCCCTGGTGCTGAAGGACACCCCAGAGCTGCCTGTCTATGTCCAGACCTCAGCTCTCACCCTGAGGGAACTCTCCATGCCTCCTGGGGCAGGACAGAAACAGAAGGAGAATGAAGAGACTACAGGAAGAGAAAGGAGCTGCTCTGCAGGGACCTGGTCTGAGTCTGCACAGGGCTAGTGCCTCACAGACAATGTTATGAACCTTGCTTACAGCCAAAATACACCCTCACCTCCTGTGGCTATGGCAAGCATTTCTTTGGCCTTTTTGACGATGTTTTTTGTGTCATCACCATGTAAACCCATAGGGTACATTTAATGTCACCTATGGAGTTATTTGTATAAACACGAGCATGTGAAAATATTTTTTTAAGATTTATTTTAGCTCATCAACTCTGGCCAAACAGGGAAGAAATCAGCATAGGATCAAGCTAGATCCTCTGAATGTGGGTGACAATTGTATGGCTGAGGCAGACTAAGGGGCCACTGCAGTGGCACTAGGGTTTGTCCCTGCTGCTTGTACTGGCTCTTTGGAACTCATTCTCTTTGGATGGATGTCCTGTTCAGCCTGGATATAGTAGGGAGGGGCTTGGTCCTTCCTTGAAGCAAGGTGCCTTACCCTCTCTGGTGGGGCGGGGAGGGGGGGGATGGGAGGAGTGGAGAGAATGGGAACTGGGATTGGTACGTAAAATGAAAAAAGATAATTTGTCCTTTTTAAATAAAATAAAGTGAGAAAAGAAGATTGATTTTTATTTATGTATGTGTGCCACATGTGTGTAGGTGTCCATGAAGACCAGCAGTTATCACCATTTGGGGGATGGGAATTGACTCAAGTCCTCTGAGGAGCAGCCAGTGCTCTTAACTGCTGGGCCATCTCGCCAGAGCCACGATAATTAATCCTGATTGTCAGCTTGATGAGATTTAGAATCACCATGAAAGCAAACTTGGAGACAGTTCCTAGATTGTGCTGACTGAGGTGGGAAGACCTACCCGGAGTGAGGGTCGCCTGAGTCCCATGGCCTGAGGTCCAGGACTAAACAGAAAAGGATGAGTCCCAGCATCCATCTCCCTCTACTTCCTGACTATAAAGCCAATGTGACCAGCTGCCTCCTAGTCCTACCGTCATGCCTTCTGCACCACGACTGGACTGTATTCCCTTGAATCATAAGCCAAAGGAAACTCTTCCTACTTTAAGTTGCTTCAGTTAGGTGTTGTGACATTCAATCTCAATTTGCAACTGCATGAGATCTAAAGTCACCCATGAGATGGACATCTGGGTGTGCCCTAGGGCTCGTCTTGACTAGGTTAGCTGAAATAGAAAAACCCACCCAGCTCACTGTGGGTGGCACCATTCCCTGTGCTGGGACCCTGGCTGTAAAAGGTAGAGACTAAACCGAGCACCATTATCCATCACTCCCTGGTCCTTGACTGTGGATGCAATGTCATCAGATGCTTCAAGCTCCTGCTGCAGTGACCTCCCTGCTACGGAGAGCCTCAACCTCAAACTGCAAACCAAATGCTGTCTCCCTTAACCTGCTTTCGTATGGGGTATTTTATCAGCAACAGAAAAGGAAACCACGAACCACGATGAAAAAATTAAGATCAAAAGGATTAGTAACAAGAAGTGAGGCCAAGGTAAGAACCTTGACTGCTCTTCAGTGAGCCAGGTTCGATTTCCAGCCTCAACATGACAGCAAAAACCTGTCTGTAACCCCAGTTCCAGGGAATCTGATGTCCTCTTCTGGCCTCTGCAAACACCAGACACACAAGTAGTATGCAAACAAACATGCAGGCAAAATATTCATACACATAAAAATAAAATAAATTTTTAAAAAAGAAGTGAGGTCACAGCTGTGCTAAAGAGGATCTTTGTGATGGTGCTGGCATAACTGGATATCAACATGTACAAGAATGAAAATAGACCCATATCTATCACCATGCACAAAACTCAAGTCCANTCCTTGTCTGCTGAGAATGTTCTCAGAGTAGGAAGTGCCCCACCTAGGAATCTGGAGCCAGGAGAATGCATAACATAAGGGCCCCTTGTGTTCTCGTTCTCCCCAGGAGCCAGGATCAGCCCTGGTGCTGAAGGACACCCCAGAGCTGCCTGTCTATGTCCAGACCTCAGCTCTCACCTGAGGGAACTCTCCATGCCTCCTGGGGCAGGACAGAAACAGAAGGAGAAGGAAGAGACTACAGGAAGAGAAAGGAGCCGCTCTGCAGGGACCTGGTCTGAGTCTGCACAGGGCTAGGGCCTCGCAGACAAGGTTATGAACCTTGCTTACATGTGAATGCAGCATGAGGAAAGATTAGCTGAGGTTCCTAGACGGGATGTGATGGTGCATCTCCACTGTCAGCCTGATGAGCTCGAGGGTCACCTGGGAGACAGGCTGCTAGGTGCGACTTTTCTCTGTTCATCCCAAATCAGGAACCAACAACAGACCAAAGAATGATCCCAGCAGAGTCCAGGCAAGTTTACAAGTTAGCGATTTTCCACTCTAAACATAGAGTTTGGGTGTGTCAGGGTAGCTTGCCAGATCTGGGGAGAGAGGTAGCTAGACTAGCCTGCATTCGCAGGGGTCTGATGTTTTCTGTTCATTTGTAGTTGGACCTAAACCGACTCAAGGCATCTTTGAATATAGTCAGGTTTCCCTTCCTTCCTTCCTTCCTTCCTTCCTTCCTTCCTTCCTTCTTTCCTTTCCTTTCCTTTCCTTTTTTTCCAGTTTTTTGAGACAGGGCTTCTCTGTGTAGCTCTGGCTGTCCTGGAACTCACTTTGTAGACCACCTGCCTCTGCCTCCCAAGTGCTGGGATTAAAGTCAAGGCATGAGCCACCACTGCCTGACCAGGTTGTTGTTTTTTTTTTTTTTTTCTAACACATTGGAGAAGGTAGAAATAACTGAACCAGAGACAATTCTACACTGGGTGAGGGGAATGACAGGGTGAAGAGAATGTAGTAGTGACACTTGCCCTCCAGAATCCACAGGACAAAAAAAATAAATAAATAAAAAGGCAAGAAAGCAGAGTCCCTGCAGCGCTCCAGCGCCACCTACTGTCAACATCTCGCCCTTGCCCCAGCAGCTAAGTGGAAAACAACAGGTTTCAAACCTAGGGCAAAAAAATTAATTACATTTATTTATTTTTACTTTATGTGCATTAGTGTTTTGCCTGTATGTATGTTTGTGAGAGGGTGTCAGATCTTGGACTTACAGACAGTTGTGAGCTGTATGTGGGTGCTGGGAATTGAACCCGGATCCTCTGGGAAAGCAGCATGTGCTCCTAATCACTGAGCCATCTCTCCAACCCCCCAAACATGGAAATTTTATTTCTAGGGTGGAGATTTGTATCTGTGTCAAGGCAAGGGTGCAGAATTCACTACACGGATCCATCTTGGACTCGAGGACACCCTGCCTCACAGTTCCGCTCGCTCTTCGGGACCAGCAGCGGGAGAGGACAACACAGTGGGAGGAGGAGGAGACTCCTCTCTCCGAGTCTAGTCCCTTTCCAGATTGGCCCATGGACTATAGCATAATTAATAAAAACCCAGAGATAGGGGTTCTACCTGAAGGTCAGAAAAGCAAAACAGCTCTTACCTCGACTTCATCCCGAAATGGCGATCCTGCCTCCAGGAATCCTTTGAATGAGACTGTGTCCGTGAGCTGTCTCCTCCGTCTTATAATCCTCTCTGGGGCTAGGGTTAAAGGCATGCACCACTACAGCACTCCCGCCTGACTTCTACGGCTAACTAGTGTGGCTACTGGGATTAAAACTGTGTGTCACCACTGCCTGGTGTGTATGTAAGGCTGACCAGTGGGGCTGTTTTACTCTCTGATCTTCAGGCAAGCTTTATTTACTTAATACCACTACGATGGATATGCTCACCCACGGTCCGTCCTGGTCCTCGGAGGTCCTCCCTCCTCTACACAAGCAAGTTCACTGCAGCTGCTTCTTAAATGGCCCCAACTGTACAAGGCACTGCCCCCAAAGGAACCTCATTCCCAGGTCAAGCAAAGCTAGTCCAGGGTCCTTCTGTCGTACTCCTTTCCCTGGTGCTGGGCAGACATTCTCAGGAGTTCTGGGTAGCCACTGAATGTAGCCTGGCTGTGCCCAGGAGAAAGGCGTGAAAACACAGGGCATATTTGTGGGAACAACTGTGAAGATATCAATCAGTTTCTCATCTTGTATAGCCAGGACCGAGCCGTGTGTGTGTGTGTGTGTGTGTGTGTGTGTGTGTGTTTTCTATTTTCTGAATTTTTGGAGCTCTTGTCTCTGGGATCTCTGGGTCTCTCTGACCATGGAGGATCTCACACCCATACGGTTAATTTCTAGAGCCAGTGAGTCCCTTGCCTGCAAGGCCTGCCATCCCTGTGCACAGAACCCACATCCGCCTTGCTCCATCCTTCACCAGTGCCCAACCACTAGGGACATCCTGAGGTCCCAGCTCTGCAGTGCCCTCCATTAGCCAACCTACCTCTGCCTCACTGTACCCTGCCACCCCTTCCTCCACCGCCAACCAACAGGCAGGCTCTGCCTCCACTCCTCTCTCCATCTGCCCGGTTTGTCCCCTGCTGTGGCCATATGTGCTGAGACATGGCACCTGTTTGGGGACCTGTGAGTGTAAATCAAAGTCCTTCCTTCCTGATGATCACAGTCACGGTTGAGCATCTACCCACACGTGATGGACACAAAACTGGGGCCCACTGTACCCCGGGAGACACATGATCAGTGGACATCCACCAACTTTATTGAATGAAGATTCTTGGAGGTGTAGACGCTGGGCTCTGGGCTCTTTGGCACTGTGAGTTCCGCCTGCAGGAGCAGAGGTCAGCCAGGGTTCCACCTCCCACTTCCTGCGTGGACTTTGCAGCACGCTATCTGTGCACTAGGAATCTTGGGCTAAATCACAGGCTTCTATAGAACCAAGAGGGACAAAGGGCAGAGCAAATGTGAGTAAGCTATGAGGAAAAACATATGGTCACCATTTTACAGAAGAAATATCAGAGCACAAGCCCTGGGAGGCGAATGGAGAAGATGGGACGTTAGGAACCCTTTTCTTACCAACGTGGGGAGGGGTAATGATCTTCCCTGTCTTGGGGAGTTTACTCTCCACAAACTCTTTGAAGATCCTCACAGCATCTAGGTCTGCTTCCAGGGTGCGGTCTGCAGGGCACATGGGGTTCCCCTGAGTGCTAGGAAAGCAGGGCCCCCAAACCCACATGGAGAAGAGGGGAGGAGCCTCGTTCCAGGCTGGAAGGCAGGTAGTTCCTCCCAAGAACTACTCTCCCAAGGGTATCCAGGGTGGGGTCTCCTCAACCCAGACCTAAGGGGCAGCCTTCAGGCACAATCACCCTGTCTCTTACTGGGGACACCAGTCACTAGGCTGAAGGAACAGCTGGGGAACTGAAAGCCCCAAGAGAGCGCCCGTCTAAGGCTCCACAGGACAGGCCTGCCACACTCCAAGACCTGGTGAGCAGGGGACAGATGTAGGAGTCTCTGCACAGCCACTCTTCCCAGATTCAGGGATGCCCTGCCCCACATTGTCTCAGTCCCTCAAGGACATAGCCCTGAGCTCCATAACTGAAGGACCATCAGGTGAGAAGACAAAGAAATGGTTTAGTGCTCAGATTGTCCTCCCTCAAAACCAGGCCCCAGCCCCTCCTAGTGGAACCCCATCTTCCAGCCTAGGCTATAAATCTGTCCCCACCTATTAAAGGCTTATCCTGCAGCAGAAGGGTCCCTGTATGCACTGATCTCCTCTAGGGCCCCTAGTGGGTCCTTGGTTCAGGCCTCTCCTCTGGGGTACTGTATCTCAGATGTCCCTCCTGACAGGACACATGCACGTCACTTCAAAATTCAACCCAAAGCCAGGAGCTGGTGGCACACACCTTCAATCCCAGTACTTGGGAGGCAAAGACAAGCAGAGCTCTGTGAGTTCAAGGCCAGCCTGGGCTACAGAGCGTGTTCCAGCACAGACTCCAAAGCTACATAGAGAAACCTGGTCTCAAAAAAAAAAAATCCAGCTCAAGGCACTTTCCCATGGTACAGCTTTACCAGAAAACCTTGTGCCTCCAGTGATATCATGATGGCCAGAAAGAGGAAAGAACATGAGAAGTCCTGTCTACCGGGGTAGTGAGCAGTGACCTCAGGATACCAAGGAGAATTCAGGCAGCTCCACGAGCCTCTGAAGTTCTTATCTGTGAGCAAAAGGGCAGGGTGATTCAGCCCCTGCTGTAGCCTAAGACCCTGCACAGGGCACTTTGAGGGACGTTTATGCCCAGTGCCTCCAATTGGTGGGTTCAATGGGGCCAGCATGGGAGGAGAAGCGCAGGGTGGAAGAGAAGGGGGCAGCCCAGTGCCACCCCGTGGGAGAAAGGACCACGAGTGCAGGGCTGGAGAATGCTGGCAGAGGTGACACGTGTGGTGAGAACTACAGGAGAGAACTCAACTCTCGGGGTTGAGAGTGTGGGCACGTGGAGGTCACGGCTCCACCTGGCACTGCTGACCTTGGAAAAGAGGCCTTTCCTTGGTGGGGGTGGGAGGCATCCTATACCCAGCAGGATTATCCTGCAGTATTCTCTGAATACAGCAATCCCTCCCACCGTGGCAAGTGCACATGTGGCCGGATGTCCCCAGTGACAAACGGGCTCCAATCAGAACCCTGTTTAGAGCAGAGCCTTGCAAAGGCTGACCAATGGGAGAAGGGAGTAACCAGAGACTAGCTGGTTACTAGCACTAGACATGAATTCTGATACTAGGATTGGTTGTATGAGAAATTAAGATTAAAAAAAAAAAGGTCAAGCGCTTACAAATCCCCCTGCTGGAGAGTCCAGGAGGCTCATGAATGGCTCCCCAGGAGAAGAATGGAGCAAGCAAGGTAGGAAGACATAGACCTGGTTCATGCCTATGCTCAGGAGTCTATGCTCAAACACAGAAGCATCTGGAACGCACCCATGAGCATCATGATCTGGTAGTACTGATAGTTCATTTTGCCCCTGAAGTAGGCAATGGCAAAGTTCTTCCCGGGCAGGACGTGGATATGGATGGTGTGTCTCCACCCTGTGGGCAATACAGCCATGTGACCAGCAGGTCTCCCTTTGGACTTTTACTGAAATACGAACTGGACCCTAGCTACTTACAGGTAAAGAACATGCCCAGGTCCTCTCCCTCATACAGGGCCAGCTTGAACGGAATGCAGCCAATGGGTTTCCTAGAATGCAAGGTCCAAGAATGGTTTTCCCCAGGGCATCCATAGCTCTTCCCTACTTCCAGTCATGGGGCCAGAGCCATGAGGTCACCTCCTACTACCTCCTGATGCATGAAACCTCCCACAAGCCAGGACTCTTCAGCTCTGTGGCAGAGGGCCCAGGAGATGCACACTCAGGTGCCCAAAGCCTGGAGCCTACTGCTACCAAGAGATGCTGAGGACGGCAACAGAGGGTCCCTGTGACAGGCACAGATGGCTGGAGCCAGTCAGCAAAGCACCTAACAGAAGCACAGGCACCAGCAAGAACCCATGCAGCCCATGGTGGCCTCTCTGGAGCCATCCAGCAGTGGCTACCTCATTCCAATGGGCAAAGCCTAGAACACAGCAAGTTGGCTCCAGGAGCCTTCTGGTTCCAGCATCATGTTAACGTGAGAATCATTCTCTTGGTTATGGGGGTCGTCTGTCAGCTTGCTAAGATAATACAAGAGGATTCCACATGGTTGTATAGAGACTGGCTTTAGACAGGGAACATGTGGAAAGGGAGGGTTGGGGTCAGACAACACCACAGCGGAGAGGGGAATCTGCAGCCAAGCTACTTACGTGAGGTTCATCCTGAACTCCAATTCACCAAGCTGGTTTCTTTCAAATGAGAAAGGAGGCAGCGGATCACTCCACTTCCACGAAGTAATCGGCATATTTCCTGCCCAGCTTCTTATGTACCACTTTCCTAAAATCTGAAGAAGAGAGTTGTCCCTGAGAGGGTAGCGGTGACAGAAGCCAGGAAAAGGGGTCCAAGTCTGGAGCTAACGTGAAAACAGAGGTAGGGGGCATGGCTAGGGTCTCAGTGCAGGCTGGAAGGGGCTGAGACACCTGATGGTCAGGAGGACCAGTCCTTCTCCATCAAAATAAAGCCAGGCAGGCCTGGTGCGGGGGGGGGGGGGGGNGACCTAAACAGAGAACTCTCAATAGAGGAATCTAAAATGGCTAAAAGACACTTAAGGAAATGTTCAACATCCTTAGTCATCAGAGAAATGCAAATCAAAACAACTCTGAGATTCCATCTTACACCTGTAACAATGGTCAAGATCAAAAACACTGATGACAACTTATGCTTGAGAGGTTGTGGAGTAAAGGGAACACTCCCGAATTGCTGGTGGGAGTGCAAGCTGGTACAACCTCTTTGGATATCAGTGTGGTGATTTCTCAGAAAACTAGGAAACAGCCCTCCTCAAGACCCAGCAATACCACTTTTGGGTATATAGCCAAAGGATGCTCAATCTTGCCACAAGAACATGTGTTCAACTATGTTCATAGCAGCATTGTTTGTCATAGCCAGAACCTGGAAACAACCTAAATGTCCCTCAACCGAAGAATGGATAAGGAAAATGTGATACATTTTACACGACGGAATATTATACAGCAGAAAAAATAACGACATCTTGCAGGCAAATGGATGGAGCTAGAAAACATCATACTGAGTGAAGTAACCCAGACCCAGAAAAACAGTTATCATAAGTACTCGCTCATAAGTGGTTTTTAAACATAGAGCAAAAAAAAAAAGCCTACAAATCACAATCCCAGAGAACCTAGACAACAATGAGGATCCTAAGAGAGACATACATTGGAAGTAAAAAATAAAAATTAAAAAAAAAGACAAGATCTTCTGAGTAAATTGGGTGCATGGGGATCATGGGAGAGGGTTCAAGAAGAGGGGAGAGTAAAGGAGGGGAGCAGAGAAAAATGTGTAGCTCAATTAAAAAAAAGATGACCTTCTGTTTTCTAGGCCTTTGGAACTTGTTTGCAGCAAGAATGTGTCAAAGTTTGGAACCTTGGGTGTGAAAAGGCTTTAAATACTAGAAGCAGAGTTTAATGGGTGATTCTGAAGGGCACTTAGAATATAAGAATTCTGAGAGAAAATTAGAGTGGACAGTAGAAGCCCCAACTCAGGAGGTTTCAGAGGGAAGCAAGGACTCCACAAGGAACTGAGTTTCTGTCCTGCAGAGTGTCAGAGCCAGGATTTCAACCTAGAGCCTATGAAACCCACGAGGCCCACTAAAGGAGGCTGCATTCAGATGCTTCAAGAGGGCCCCTGAGCGTTGTAGTCTGTGAGCCCAAAGAGACAGGTTCCTGAACATGGAGAGGCCATGGCCTGGGACCAACCCCTCTCACGTCCATCCCAGCCTAGGCAAAAAGGGTACCAGATATGAGGGTGCAGTCCCTAGGGTACAGGATCCAGGACCCCAGCCTCAGAGAGAACTCAGTGGACACAGAGGTTAGCAAGGAGCCCTGAAGCCAACTACAGACACAGGGCCCTGGTCCTGCTCAGTTCTGAGCCTTGGTGTAATCATCTGTTAAATGGCTATTTGTTGCCAAGCGAGCCTGATGGATTGTGAGAATCCCTGAGAAACGGCTTGTGGGACCCTTTGCTTGTGTAGCACAGATTGCATGTTTTATGATAGCCAGGAAGTGGAGGGAGGGTAATTTAGAGCCAAGATATACCTTTCAAGGTCATGCCCTCTTATCGGCCCAGTTCCTCCAACAAAGCCCTACCCTGCAGCTGGATGTCTCCCAATAGTCTCTCCAAATTTAGAATCCATTAATGGATTAAAACATTGATCGGGTGAGGGTCCTCGTGATCTGATCCTCTTAGGAAACACCCTTGCTAACATACTCGGAGAAGTATTGTATTACTCTCCTAAATGTCTTCCCCCAGCCCAGCTGACAGTCGAGATTATCTGTCACTGGGGGCTGGAGAGAGATGGCTCCATGGTTCAAAGCACTGGCTGCTCTTGCAAAGGACCTGGATCCTGGTCCCAGTATCCACAGAGCGGTTCCTAACCACCTGTGACTCCAGTTCCAGGGGATCTGATGTCCTCTTCTGACCTCCATGGGCCCTGCACACACATGGTGCACAGACATACATGCAGGCTAAACACGCATACACATAAAATAAAAATGAATAAACCTTTGAAAAGGTTAGCCATTATGTACTTTAAGAGCCATTTCTTTGAAATAAGTCCCTCTCAATGCTTCATTTATATAAATCTATTTGTATAATAGATAGATGATATTTACCCACCAAGTATTTTGTGTCGACATCTTGTGGTTCTTTGTCATGGAGAAATATGTCCTGAACAATATGTCTTATAACAAGGAAAGAGTTTTGTAACTCAAAAGTCTTCAATAAATAAAAGCCTAAGCCAGCTGGCCAAAACAGCTTATTCTTAGCAAACACTTGAAGAGGGAGCGTGGATGGTTTGTCAAACACCTCAAGAAACCGGGAAGGAACCAGTTCTTTAGACTGTGGTGTAGGGCGGGACTCTGCTCCGACGTGGAGGCTGATCTGGCTATAGCCTGCCACAGGCCCTTGACTGGAACTGGCTCTGTGCAGACAACACTGGCTCCTAAGAGGCTCCCAGAGCTGTGTCTAGCTCTGGAACCGGAACTAGAAGTGCTTCTGCGGCTCCTGGTAGCTCGGAGTCTCACATGGGGTCTCTCTCTGGAGCTCTGAGGAGTTTCTGCATCTAAAGGCGGTGCTGGATGATGAGAGAGCTTTCTTTGAAAGGAGTCTGTGATAAAGCTGGATTTGCAGGCAGAGGTGGCGGCCCAGACCCTTCTAGTCCTGGCTTTAGAGACCTCGTTGCGGTTGAGATTGACCCCTGATCCAGCACAGCGCCTCTGCTGTAGCTGGCTAGGGAACTGGCTCTCGATGCAGAGTTAACAGCCAGCCTTGAGCTATGGTCGGCCTGGGCAATGCTACTGTCTGAATCTGGAGTAGGTGTTGGGGTTGGTTCTGGACTGGCTGGCTGCACTTCTGCGGATGGGGGGGCTTCAGCAGTTTCTCCTTCTGGTTCTGTCATCTGGAGACAGCTCCAGACGTGTTCGCAGCTCCGGAGCAAGGCAGGAGCCTCTGCTGGCACGGGATCTAGCTCAACCACAAACACTAGAACAAATGATATGCTGGGCACCCGGATCTTTTGGGCCTTAGAGCTGGAGTGAAACAAGAAGCGACATCAGCTCTTGTTGTTCCTTCCAGACCTTTTGTGAAAACAGTTCTCACTGATGAACATGGCCAATGCTCAGCAGGTCAAGAGGGCTTCTTCAGACCTCTGCTGCCCAGATGTACCTCCAAGGCCCCTTCCTAGGCCCGCCATTGCAGTCATGTGACTAGGGAACATTTTCTAACTTCTGATGTCTCAATTCCCCTCTGGACAGTGGAGATGGGCCCATACTCACACATACTGTGAAGATTCAAGGATTTGGACCATGCCTGATCGTACATTCCTCTAATCCTAGCGCTTGGAAGGTAGAGGCTGAAAGATTAGAAGTTCAAGTCATCCTCAACCACTTAGCAAGTTAAAGGTAGTCTGGGTTATGTGAGACATTGTGTCAAAAACAGGAAGGAGCCTGGTGTGGTGGTGCACTCCTTTAATCCCAGCACTTGGGAGGCAGAGGCAGGCGGATCTCTGTGAGTTTAAGGCCAGCCTGGTCTACAGAGTGAGTTCCAGGACACCCAAGACTGTTTCACAGAGCAACCCTCTGGGGGTATAGGGTGGAGTCAGGTGGTGGTGGTGCACGCTTTTAATCCCAGGGACAGAAGCAGGCAAATTTCAGTGAGTTCGAGGCCAGCCTGGTCTACAATGCAAGTTCCAAGACAACCTGAAAAATCCTGTCTCGGGGAGGAGTGGGTGACAGAAAGGAAAAGAAGGCGGGAGGGATGGAGAGAGGAGGGCAGTCAGGCAAGAAGTAATGGAGGAAGGCAGGGAAAGGAAGGAAGGATTCAAGAATTTGGGACCATCAGCAAGTGTGGCTGGCCTGGCCCATGGGTAGCACAGCAGGGCTCACTGATGTGTCCCCAGGCCCATAATTCACACCCATCACCCAGGAGTCCTCACGAGTTTCCGGACTCATTAGATGTGTGCTGTGTACTTGTGCGGGACACAACACAGATCCCAGCAGTTAGCTGGTCTTCTGAGTGTATTCTGTGTCTTTGAGTGCCATCTTGAAGTAGAGAACAGTCAACCCTCAAGAGGCTGCCCTGCACCTCGGAGCCACACACAATCCCCCAGGTGAGGCTAATCAGAAGCATCTCAGACCCGGTAACACCCTGTGGCTCCTTCCTGATCCATCCCCAAAGCTTCCTTATAAAAGAGGAAGCAAAGTGTCATCTCCTAGGCCCATGAATACTAGTAAGTCAGATCTGGCCCTTCCTCTCTGTGTGGAAGCTTTGGCACTCGGGAGACAGAGGCAGGCGGATCTCTGTGAGTTTGAGACCAGCCTGGTCTACAAGACCTAGTTCCAGGACAGGCTCCAAAACCACAGAGAAACCCTGTCTCGAAAAACCAAAAAAAAAAAAAAAAGAATTCAATGGAGGAAATCCTAGCACCCAGGATGTGAGGCAGGAGGATCCTAAATTCGAGATCAGCCTTAGCTACTTAATGAATCCCAGGCCAGTATGGGCTACTTGAGACTCTGTCCAAAAAAGTGGGGAGGGGCTGATACAAACAGAAGCAAATCCAGGATAAACTCAGAAAAACTGAATTAGAAGCTCAGGTACAAGGGTCAGCTTTGGAAATAAGAGAAACTTTTGAGATTGGTAAAACGNGGGCTTCTAGGAGAGACCTTGATCAGACCCCACACAACTGCCCAGGGGATGCTGAGGAGAATCATCAGAAGGAGCAGGTCAACCTTTCCATTTGAGCGGATGAGAGAGGAGGGCAGAGCAGGGGCCAGAGAGGACTGAGCTCCAGAATTGCCCAGTTACAGGTGACAGCACAAAAGAGCTCTCACTGTGTGTGCGCAGCTGCAGTTTCCGGTCACCCTGCCGGGGCGTGGCCAGCCCCAAAGTGCAGGGCCTCTCTTTTTCTCCTATGGTTGCCAGTTTTCTAAGGACTAAACTCATCAAGGCAATGGCCCTATCAACACTGGCACAGAGGCCATGCCAGCCTCAGCACCAGCTGCCACCGTGTTTCTAGCTCATGGGACCCGTCCACGTCATTGTTTTGCATCACTTGTGACCTGTGGCCAGAGCTTCAGGGACTGAGTGAGGCCTGGGGTGACTCGGTCCTGTTCCTCTGTGAGGGAACAGGAAGGATCCAAGCAGGAATTTGGAGAGGAAATGACAGAGAAGAGGACTGGGTACAGGAAACCAGGAGGCAAAGAGTGGGGCCAACAGTTGAGCAGCTCCTGATGCTGAGAGAACTTGATGTCACTGTGAGACAGCCATGAGGTGAGGACAGAGGGCCCTATGGCTGGACCAGTTACTAGAGGGACCCAGGTAGACTGGATACTAGCCTGAGCCCTGAGACCTCTTCAGAGCCAAGTCAGCTTCACCTCCAGCGTGTAGATATGAAAGACCAGGTTCCCACGGGACGGAGAGCCCTGATTGCTCTTTGGGCTGACGAGGGAGGGGGAATGGATTGGGGGAGGGGGAGGGAAAGGGGAGGCGGAGGGGGG